TGTTATCTAATGTTGTTTCTTTATGATCATAAATAACATAGTGTTACATAGATTTATACACGTCGTCATTAACATGAATTTTGGCACCTCACGTATATGTTTAACATGGATGGAATTTTATAGTCAAACATTTAAATAAATTGTATATATGCACACATGACTGAATTAATAACGAATGAACATATGAAGACAATTTTTTATTATATATGAACAAATTAAAATGCGAAGTCAAAACGGATCAATACATGCATATATTGTAGCAACAACCCTAGCATATGTACACATGCATCTGCCTGTTGATTTTACCAAAACAGTAGATGAACAACCGGTCGGTCATCACTATCCTAACTGATCCAGTTGTTAGATATACTTGATTCATTTTCGTTACATATATGTTTTAGAGTTTACTCCTAAGTTCTTTACATGGCAGTCCATATTTTTGGTAGAGTGTGCAAAACACATGTATACAACCTAAGATATGACACATGTATGTTGACATATTGGATTAAATATGAGATTTCGGATGTGAGCAACGTACACACACCTATAGGTTTTTTAACATAGTCGACTAGTTGATGGTCGAGTATACATATTGTTAACACTTGTGAAATAACCAACATTCAGTGGCATCCAGGCTAACATATAATTATCTACTTACGTGTTGCCCCCCAGACGTGACACATATGTGAACCACCTTATACGAAAACATGTGCACATAAGGATAACATTTCCATGTATTCACATATATTTTTTACACATGTTATGATAACACCTTTGATACATATTACAATTAACACTTTGTTCATTAGGTTCACAGATAGGTTCATTCATTCATCGACTCTGTATCAATCCAAAAGTGGACATCTACGCACACCTGACTGAGATTTAATACAAAAGGTCGACGTATGTGTTCAATTGTGCCCGTATGAAGTCACTTTACTTCGAACAATATGTCCACCTTATTCACAGACCTCTTAACATTCTTCATGCACATTAGTCGATTTTGGTTGAACTAGATGAACATAATGTTACATCCAAGAAGCTCACACTTTTTGCATGCTTCTTATTAAGTCTAATTTAACTGATGTTTTGTTACGACAGATGTACCCCGCACGAACTTTACAGTACACATTATCTGGAATGATGTGAGTACATAAACAACTAGTGCAATACAAATATGAACTAAAAAACGACCAAGCAGTGACATATTGAGATACTTCTAAATCGACATATCATAGATGTTAGACGTGATGTTCATTACTTTCGAAATGATTGCATATTTGAGCGTGATAACCAAACTCGGCACATGAACGTACATGTGTTTTTTTGAATAGAATCGAGTTTGTGTCACTTAACCGATAAACCTAAGAACTTGGGTTTAAATAAGTTGAAAAATCATGAGTTATCAACCAAAATGGCCTACTTATATGATAGTGCATATGTCTTAATCACAAAAAAAGAAATTATATCGTAAATGTCAACACCTACAATGATAACCTTATAGGAATGAACGCATGCACAAATTTACATCACTGAAACCTAATGATAAATAACCAAATCGTGTTTTTTAATTCATTGTGATCACGTACTATGCTACATATGAACCAAGCATACAGGCTCACATATTATTATCTACTTACGGGTTGCCCCCCCCCCCGACATGACACATATGTGAACCACCAAATACGAAAACATGTGCACATACGGCTTACATTTCCATGTATTCACATATATTTTTGACACATGTATATGATAACACCTCTGATACATATTACAACTACAAGAAATGAAGTGTACATACGGACCGAGCTAGGTATACGAAGACAGACAGTGACCAAGAGTTGATCAAAAGGTTCACAAATTAAATCACGTTGCAAACATACTTGTTCATTATGATCACTTTCAGGTTCATTAGGCCATATGTCTCATGTGAACCACCTGTGCATATGTCTCATGTGAACTACTTGTGCATATACCCTAATCTCATAAAACCCAATATGACTATCGCCATCTGAACCACCACCACCGACTACCATGATCTGAACCACCATCGACCACCACCAATCTAAACCACCGCTGATATGAACCACTGCCATCCACTACCGATTTGAACCACCGCCGATTTGATTCACTGTCGATCGGAACCATCACCGATCATCGCCATCTGAACCACCATGGACCACCACTTATCTGAATCACTGTCGACCATCGCCATCTGAACCACAACGAACCACCATCAATTTGAACCACTGCCAACTACCACCGATCTGAATCACCGCCGACCACCGTCGATCTGAACCACCGCCAACCATCACCGATTTGAACAACCACTTATCTGATCTGAACCACCGCCGATATGAATCACATCCGATCATCGCCACCTGAAGCACTATGGACCATCACTGATCTGAACCATTGCCGACCACCGACAATTACCACCGATCTAAATCACCATAGGACACCGCCGACCACCAACGATTTGAACAACCATCGATCTGAACCACTGCCTCCACCGTCAATCTAAACCACTATCCATGTGAACTACTGCTGACCACCTCCATATGAACCACCTCAGACCACCATCGATCTGAACCACTGCTGACCAACGTCATATGAACCACAACCGACCACCACCGATCTGAACCACCGTGGACCACCACCGATCTGAACCACCGCCAACCACCATTGATTTAGTAACGTCGTTTGGCTTATGGTTATAATTTGGGTTGCGTATTTTATATCGTTATATATATATATATATATATTAAATAATTATTTTATTAAAATATGTTTGATTTTAAAAAAATTAAAATTTTCAAAAAAGGGCATTTTAGTCATTTACCAATATTTCATTCCAATTTCGAAGCTACATTTTGTGATTCAAAAAGAAAAATTCCAATTTTTTAACAGATTTCATTCCAATGTCTACCAACCAAACAAGTGGTCAAACTTGACAACATTTCATTCTAATTCTTTTAAAGTCAAATTCCTTTAACATATTTCATTTCATCCAAAAACATTCCACTCACAAAACGCCCACCTTTGTTTCTCACTATAGATGCTTTATTGATGTTGACAGAGTAAATTACATATTTTGTCCATGTGGTTTGTTATAAATTGCGATTTTGTCCCCTTGCCTTTGTAATTTGGATTTTTGTCCCTTTGGTTTGCAATTCATTTCTATTTTCGTCTATGAGGACAAAACACTATTATGTATGAATGATTAAAATGAAAAAAAGAATTATAAACCATAAGGACGAAAAAACAATAAATTTTAAATCATAAGGACGAAAAAGGTAATACATTATAAACCATAGGTAAGAAATTTTCAACAAACCAGAGGGACTAAAACCATAATTTACTCATGTTGAAATAATAAATGGATCCACAAAAAGAAGATTCTTATTAGTCACTATTGGAGTTTTACCAAGAACTTCTCCAACATATTCTCTAAATTAGATAATTAAAAGTCAAAATCTTCAAAATCATTTTACGTTCATCTTCAATTACGTATCCAATTTTAAAAAATCACAATATTAATTATATTATAAAAATGTTCAATAAAATTCATAAAATATTATCTCATTGGTTGGAAGATTAAAAAACATTTTCTCTTTCTTAAGCAATCATTTTTTCAGAGTTCTTCAAATTTGTAGAATTCATTCTCTTTTTTTTTCCTACTTTCTCCATTTTGTAGAATGTTTGAAGAATTTGTTAAAGCAAAACCAACAACATCCTCATTTTGAAGAATTTGTTGGAGATGCTCTGATAATTATTAATTTATTAACTTAACAATGATATAACCAAAAAAAAAGGTTCTTGTAAGTTACTCCACAATACTATTTTCTTCCTCAAAAATTTCTCATTTGTCTATCGGGTTCATAACAAAAGCGGACTATTTAAAATTCATTTAAACAAGAGACTCTGAATGCATCAACAAAGCCTACACAATTTCTGATCTCTAGTAAACCTCTCAGTAAGAGTCGGTAGCTTCTTTTTTTTAGTGGTGGCTACCCAGATACCATTGAAAGTGCAGTAGGTTTTTGTGTGTGAGAATGTGAGGCTCGTTGAAAGTAAATTAAGACATCATAAAAAGCGATAAAAGTTCAAGTTTTATTTAAGAAACGCAGGTTATCGGTGAACAAATTAAAAACCAAATTTATTAACAATATACTTTTATGTACAATTCAAGTTTTATTCCACAAGCACACATCATCATGAACGAATTTACGACCTCTTTCCTAACATGATAAATAGTGGTGGTCTCCTACCACTCTCTCACCTGCATCACAAATTATAGAATCAAATCAAAACCATATCCAGCTTCTAATATTCAAAACTCATAAAAGTGGCTTAGATACGATGGTGTGTTTTCAGAGGCAGATCGAAAAAACTCAAACGATGACATCATCTGACCAAAAGGTGAAAGGTATAGAAAGTTTTAATAAATCATAACAGTTTAGTTGGTTAGTTACTTGTATTTCTAAAGAAAAGTAGCAGGTTTGAGATTCCTTCCATTGTTGAAATATAGAGACTCGTAATCGAACATTAAGGCTAGCATCATTTTAAGAACGTAATTTTCCCCACTACTGAAGCAGTGGCAAGGTTCAGCATATTCCCCTATATAGGCCGTTTCATGGACCCACTTTAATAGATACGTTGACATGGCCACCACTTCGTTTCTTCGTCATAGTGTAAAAAATTATAGAGTCGTGAAATGTGCTATCGTATCATTTTGTTTTGTGCAATTGTATATATTTTGAAACTACGATGATGCCACAAGTTTCTCTTGGTAAAGTTTGTTTGTATGGTTTTTCTCTCACCCCAGACCAGGATCCTTATCCTGTTTGTGTCATTTTTCTTAATTTTTAGTTTTAGATTTATTACGATTCTAAAAAGATTGTAATAAAAGACTTGAATACATGATCCCACACATGAAAAACATAGAAGTAATTGGAGAGAATGTAATGTACCCCATATGTATATGCATGGAAAGTTGATTAAACTTGCTTGAATTCCTGCAATTCTTGGAAGTTCTCCCATGACTTCACCCACACCTTGGCTTCATAAGTTTTGGTCTCACCACCATCATTTGCTTCCAGGGTGATAATGTAAAGTTTACCCTGTACAACTTGCTCCTTTGTGTTTACTACCTTCCCAAACTCCAATTTTGCATTCTGCATTTCCATACACTTCTTTAGTATTTACGTTACAAAATCGAGTTTAAAGGATGTCAAGTGTTCTAATAGACTGCTTTACAAGATTTTAGGGCAAAATACTTGTGTGTCGTATGTAAAAAATGTTACAATAAGTTCATATGATATATTTGGACATCTTGATATAAAATGTTCTATTTTTTTTATAAATATGACACGTGTCCTACAAAAGGTCTTTTAACGTGACATTGCTCAAAAATGTTCTAAAAAACTTGTTAAAACACCTACAAATGTCATATAAATTTATGGGAACACTTTACATAGAATATATATATATATATATATATATATGATTGTTTGGTTCTATAAAGTTAAGTCTTACAAAACGGTCTATATATTAGGACCCTTGTACATTTTTTAACGTCCTAAAAACCTGATCTTATGGTAATATGTTAGTGTGTCGCTTTTATTTGGAAGATGTGTGCGTTGAAACATTCATGTATTATCTATTCTATAATATAAAACATTTGATAAAAACTCTTAAAAACCATTTTTATACATGAAGTACTGTTTATTTATGCATATTACTTAAAATTCAAGATTACAAGTAAATTATGCGTAAGTACAACCTATTAAATCTTCATGTTTGAATTCGTGTAACTAAGTGCAGATAAACATAATCAAATAGAGGATAAACTATCTCATTTTAAATATAAAAAATCTAAAATATAATTAGGATAATCATTAAGTTCTAATAAAATAATTAATTATTATCTTTATAAAAAATTGTATTATTAAACCAATATCATTATTTAGTTTGATACTAATATCAATATTTTTTTTTCAATTTTTTATGATATATCTTCATATTTATATTTTATTTAAAAATAAAAACATTATCGTTTTTTCAAAACCATATAAAACTAAATTGATTTCTTAATGTTTTTGTAACTACGATAAAAATATTCTATAACTATATTCCATTTATTTACAATTATTTATTTTTAATTCTATTTCACGGTTATTATTTTGTGCCACCACGAGAAAAAAGAAATCTCCCGTGCATTCCATTGGCAAATGAGTGGTGCCTAGCTAGAACCCAGAGCTCACGCATATGGATTATACATACCGATTTATCAGATGCATGTTGCAGATACAAGCCGTCTATGGATCGTTAAATATGTTTGGGCGTACATAAATTAAAACTTGTAAAACAAACGATCGAATAGTTACAATATAACTAATACAACGAACATACAATCGGACAATCAAAACGGAAATGATTTGAAAATGAATGAATTAATTAAGAAAGATGATTCGAGAACAATTAATACCTGCTTCTTGTTGTGTTCATCGACGGCGAACCGAGCAATGGTATCGATCTCAACGGTGTTTTCGACGGTGTTGGCTCCTCCAGCAACTGCTGCCATTTTTGTTGCAAGTAATTAATTAACCCGAAACGTGAAAATGTCCCAACGTGTTATTGGATCAATATATACATACATATATGTATGTATTGGTGGCAGTAATTGAGAATGGAGAAAGAATGATTGCCATTGTTTTCCGGCTGTTGAATTTCATTAAATTAAACCACGTATGCCTAACAATATTTAGAACCAAAATCAGTTGGAATGATTACATTAAAACTATTTTTATACCAAGTCACATTATCTTACCGGATGAATATGATAAAGACCAAGAATTATACCCGGTAAGAACGAGACAGAGGACCAAGAGTCATACCCGGTAAGTGAGGACGATGACTCTTACCACGGTAAGCGCTTACCAGGTAAATTGTTGCGTACGATGTCATTTTGGTGAACTAAATCTTACCTAGTAAGAAAATGATAGTGTAAAATTTTACCGATTAGTACTTACAAGGTAAGTGTTTGGTAAACGGCACCTTAATGCTATTTCCAAACTATCTATTTCTAAAACCGTGTGGCTTTCCATCTATTAGTTTCAAGCCTATGATATAAGAATATTGGAGTCTTGATCATTCAGTGATGGATTGAGAAACTTAGGTGAGGGGAGTTAAACTTACTAGTGTCGAAAATTTTGCAAATTGAATAATTAATCCACCCAACACACACATACATATAAGAGCTTAATCAAATGAGAACTGTTTAATTTGTCGTAATCGTGAGATCCAACATGAACCAATCATTCAGGATAGTTATTATGATTTCTTAAAATAAATAGAAAGGTAAATTAGTAAATTGTATTGAGTATTCAATTTACTTTAATTAATTTAATATTCTAATTTTGAAATAGATGTATGTGTGTGTGTGTGTGTATATTATAATGGACGGGATCACCACCTATGACCCTCTTTCCCCATCACTGGCTAAAACGTGTTTCGTCTCCGGTGCAACACTTTACACCGATCCCTTTGCCCAACACCGTCCGACGCCTCCTTCTCCGCCCATCTCCGTCCACTGGCCATCGCTGCTTCTTATTCTCTATCCATCTCAAACCACCGGTCATCATCTCCTCAACTCTCACTTTCGGTCTGACTCCCCCCTGTTCAAGATCGGTTTCAGTTTTTCATATCCCAAGAGATCTATTTTCTGCACACTCATATCGGTTTCGGTTTCTGGTTTTTGTTCAGATCTTATTTTAGATCGGGGACGTAACCCATATATTGTCGGAGATGTAACGCAGAAGATGTAAGGTTTTTGGATGTAACCTAGATCTCTTTGGAGATGTAACATCGAGTGTAATACAGTGGTAACACAATAGTATCATAGTTGTATTCATCAGATCTGGTACCATAGTGTGTATCACAATGCATTTTTGGCTGTTATACGAAGTGTATCACAAGATATTTTTGTTGTTTTACTAAGTGTATCACACCTTGTTTTTTAGGTATTGTTGTTTTACCAAGTGTATCACATTGTGTTTTTCGTTATTTTATGAAGCGTATCATAGTGTGCATCATGTGTTTGTCATAATAAGGTTCCCCGGAATAAAGTTCGACGAAGAGAGAAGAGAACATATATAGGATTTTTAAAATACCTAAAATGCACTTTAATTAAAATTTTAAGTCAAATTAACAAAATTATCAGTTTCTTAATTTAACTATTCATTTGTTGTTGAGATTGAATCTCACATTCATCACAAACTGATCAGTTCTCCCTTGAATGACCCCATCCATCCATCCATCCGTCCGTCCGTCCGTCCATATATATATACATATATACACACACATACGTGTCCGTCCGTCCGTCCGTCCATCCATCCATCCATCCATATATATATATATATATATATATATATATATATATATATATATACACACACACATACATGGAGGTTCAAACGAGAACACCTTCATTTTACGATAACGCGAGATCATCTTTATCACATGTGATAATACACGTTAGGGGAACCTGTGATGTGCGGACGACATGTTCTACAACTTAGGTCGCGTCAAAGGTTGTCTGCGTCTATGATTTAACATCAGATGTGATGGTTTTGATGGATTATAGTATCATATCAATAACAACATTATCACATGTGATAATACTTGTGATGGGACTTAGTGGTGTAAGGGCGACTTGGCCCACAACCACGTTCGCAACGAAAATCGTCCGCATATCTGATTTAGTATGACATGTGTGTTATATGTGATGAAATAATAGTATCACATATGATTGTCTATAGTGAAAGTGTGTTATCGCATTGTCGTAAAATGAAGGTGTTCTCATTTGAACCATTCCCTATATATATATATATATATGTGTGTGTGTGTGTGTGTGTGATATATATATATATATATGATTAATCATTTAAAAATTCCATTTTTTGTAAGACATGTAAGATTTAATGTAAGCCACTTATTTAAAATAATTAAATTTATTTTTTTAATTAATAATAGAAGGGTATTGATGTATTTTGATAATTTGAAACCATCGGTCATTAAATCTAATCTCTCTCTCCCTTAAAATCACGATTCTTCAAATCCTTCCATCTATATTTTCCTTTTATTTCACAATTATCTCTAAAACCCTAAGAAAAGACGGTCTCTCTTCCTTCTCTCTCTATATATGAGTGAATATATACTTTCCCTTGTGAATATTTCCAACCGATTCAGAGGTGTTTATCATCGACTATGCAGCTGTTGTCTCAAGTTGTAGAAGAGACGATTAATGTGTGATTTGGAAGAGATCTTTGTAGATTGGGTTTGTCCGAATGATGTGGACTATAAATGAATTTGGACTTGTATTGGAATAGAATAATTTCCGTAGTTATTTTCCCTTACCTTGTGCCTTAAGTTTAGGACTTCCATATTTATTTTCTTAATTCTTGTATTTATTCTGTTAACCATTAATGAAAAGAAAATAACTTTGAGCCATTAAAATCTATATGGTATCAGAGCAAGGTTAACCAAACACACAAAACCCTAGTCGTTCAACAATCATGACCGGCTGCACTGAAGGTTCGGCTGGAAAGAAAAATGAAGGCGGACCAAACGTGAACTCCCCGCTATATATTCATGCATCGGATTATCCGAAACAGATGCATGCCAACAAAACTCTTACCGACAACAATTATACGGATTGGTCTCAGATGATCATGAATTTTCTCTTCGCCAAAAATAAGGTGGGTTTCATTGATGGGTCAATCAAGAAACTAGAGAAGGATTCAACTGACTACATGCTCTGGATGTGATGTGATGCCATGGTGAAAGGTTGGCTAACGACTGCGATAGAGAAGAAGATAAGATCCAACGTAAAGTATGCCAACACCACTTCTAAGATCTGGACCGATCTAAAGGAGCGTTTTGGAAAAGAAAGCGCGCCAAGGGCATACGAATTGAAACAAACCCTATAGATGACACTTCAGAATGGAGCCATCATTTCAGTCTACTACACCAAGTTGCGCAACCTTTGGGATGATATTGGGTCTGTGTTGCCAGTGCCCAAGTGTTCCTACAACAGTTGTACATGCGACGTCGGCAAAAAGGTAAGTGGGTTGAGAGAGAAAGAAAGGCTCTATGAGTTCCTCATGGTTCTTGATTGTCACTTCTCTATGATCAAAACCCAAATACTTGCCATGAATCCCATACCAAGCCTTGGGAATGTATACCACCTCGTGGCTGAGGACGAGCGGTAGAGAGCTAGATCAGCAGATAAGAAGCCGGCTACAGAAGCTCCTGCTTTCAAGGCTTTTGTACCGATACGACGAGAAGGAAAGCAGAACCAAAAGCGTGACAAACTGACTCAAAAGGATGCCAAACGGGTTGACGTGGTCAAGCATTGTACCTTATGTGGAAAGGACGATCATTCACGAGACGGTTGCTTCAAACAGATAGGCTATCCAGAATGGTGGCCAGGAAACAAGAAACGTGAAGAAACAAAACTGAAATCCTCCTTCACCGAACCATGATGCAACTCTCCCATTCCCAGACTGACCAATGAACAATATGAGTCTTTTTTGAAGCACTCTTCAAAAACGGGAAGCTTCGGTAAGGAAGTTAATGCTCAAAAGGCGTTTATGACTGGTAAAGGTAATGACAATGATTATTGGGTGGTTGACTCGGGATCTACTGAGCACATCACTCGCGATGGTAGTATCCTTGAAAATAAAGCCAAAACTTACTTTGAAACCCCAGTTGTCATTCCCAATGGGGATGCAATACTGGTTGAAGGTAAGGGGGAATGTCTTTTGCCAGGAGGAACTAAAATAAAAGGAGTCTTACAAATTTCCAAATTTACTTGCAATCTTTTATTCATTAGTAGATTGAGCAAGGATTTTTGTGTCATGTAGTAACTTCACATGAGGAGCTTGATTGGTGCGGGTGAGTACAAGAATGATCTATACCGAATGGGGATGATTGGAGGTGAGAAGAAGGCAACGACTACGACTGTGGATATCTGGTACAAAAGATTGGGACACACATCCGATGATAAACTTAATCAGACAGATTTTCTTAGTAATAGTTCTTTTGATCAGATTTGTGATTCTTGTTCCAAGGTAAAACACACCAGACTTTCTTTTCCAAATAGTAATATTAAAACCAATGATTGTTTTGAGTTAATACATTGTGACATCTAGGGGAAATATCGTGTTCCTTCTATTTTGGGGCAATATATTTTTTAACCATAGTCGATGACTTTAGTAGAGTCATATGGGTTTTTCTTCTAAAATTCAAGCACGAAGCAAGCAATCGCTTGACAAGTTTTCACAACATGATAAAAACTCAAATTGGAAAACCCATCAAAAGTATCCGTACAGACAATGGCGGTGAGTTTACTTCAAGCGACATGCTAAAGTTTTACAATGAACATGGGATTTTGCTTGAAACTACTTGTCTACACACCCCACAACAAAATGAGGTTGTGGAAAGAAAACACAGACATTTTCTTGAAACCGCTAGAGTCTTAAGGTTTGAAGCCAATTTACCCAAAAGATTATGGAGAATGTG